GCCCAGGGCAAGCATGACCTCATCCTCAGCAAGGAGGCGTGGCAGGAGTGAGCCAAGGGACTCGAGCCATGGGATACATTTTTTGGTCCAGCTATGGCCCAAGAAGCTACAGGAAACAGAAGCCACTTGGTATTTTTTAAGTTCTTTTTGCTCGAATTTAGAAAAGAGCTTCTACACTTGTTGCTTAATTCTTGCTGATGAGGGAGAACTTACTTCTTACAATTCACAGCCACTGGCCACTCCTCTGCCATCAAATGAAGCATCTGAAAAACTGCAGTATCTTTCTGGGGTTATTAGGTCCCTTCTGATCCCAGACTCATCAATCTGGACAGCCAGGTGTTGAAGGGGATGAGGAGGAGATGCATGGTGACGTTCAGCTGTTAATAAAGCAGTTCATGGGCAGCCGGGCAGTGGCCAGAGGTGTAATGACTGGAGAAAGACTTCTTGGAGTTAGGGGCAGGGTGGGAAGCTACACAGTGCAGAGGTGGCAAGTCTTTCCCTTACCCCCACCAGTGGTGCCTTTGATACTGTGGGCAGGGAGTGAGCAAGGGGGAAAACCTGGCAAGGGACCCCCTTCGGCTTCCTTATTCTGGGGTCCCCACAGTGCAAATGGGTGTTTGATAACTTACTTTTCATAACTGTCTTGATTTTTTATCCTTGTTTTAGGTCTTTCTTGGTATATAAAGGGTTAAGTTCTTACAAATTACTTGACAGGATACCAACTTAAATTGAGGTAACTGTCTTTGATTTTAAAAATCTTTCCTGAGATTTTAAGGACCCCTACGGAGTTAGGAGGGTCTAGATTATAACCCAGGAAGGATTTGCTGAGTGTGGGTGTGGCACATGCACATACTAGCTTCACCTCCAGAATCTCCCAGAATCCACTTCTTCCCATCACCCTTACTCTATCACTCAGGCAAAGCTACTCATCTCTTGTCTGGACCACTGCAACTGCCACAGTCACTGGCCACTTTGACAATCTTTGAAAATGCCCCTACCCTTCTAAGTAAAGACTTTTGCGTGTGCATTCCCCCTTTGCCTGGAATGCTTCTCCCAGGGACTGTCATGGCTCACTCTCTTACTGCCCCCAGGCCTTTTCTCATTGAAACTTCTTGGGGTACTAGGTCTAAAAGTGCAATCTCCCTATATTTTTTGGCTTATCATGTAAACTACTGTGTGTTGATGTTGTTTACTACCCATCATTTCTGGTTTTTCTAGACTGAGAACTCCACAGAGGAGGCAGAGTCATTTTTCTCTTGTCCATATAGTAGGTGCTCAAATGCATGTGTTGTTCAGTGATCTCACCTATTTGTTCTCAGTTGGATACTGGCTAGTTAGAGGATGTCAGGAGGTACTTAGGCCCCATCTGTACAGGTGCATTTCACTAACAGGGCAGAAGGAACCAAATACCTAATCTCTGAGTAAGATCCAGGCCTTTTGTACTTATAGGCTTGGCCATTAGGATGATGATAAAAATGGTCCCTGAAAATGTGCAAATGATAGCTCTCAATATTGTCTTGTTGAGTTCTGCTCTGAAATGGATCCATGAGAGAGGAGATTAGAGACAATGTGAATCTGAAAGCACAGAGCAAGATGAAAGAGCTTCAGGTGAAGCCTGAGTTCGGGTGGAGAGGGAGGTGGAATCATGGAAACAGGCAGGACATACTAGGACATAGAACCCTGACCCTAGGTTCTTCCACTAATTACATGGCTCTGCCTTTCAGCTCTTGAAGTGGTTTTCAGTCCACAGTTGGGCTTTCCATCAAGTTCATTTATTAGCACAATGACACTAGCTTTTGTAATCCTTATGAATTTCCCATTAAAACCTAGCATGTTCTCCTTCAGCTTACAAATCTCACTTTCCAGTGAACAAGACAGTGTGTGTGGTGAGGTCTGCTTTCTGGGACTGTGGTGCTAAGGATTAGCTTCTTGGCACCACTTGACAGACATTGCCTGGTGCCCTCTTTCCTTTTCACAGGTCTCTACCCAAATCCTGTGAAAGAGCTTTGAGGCAGAGGGCTTCCAAAATAAATCATTTGTGCCAGGGTCCTGTGGGGTGTGTGTGTGTGTGTGTGTGTGTGTGTGTGTGTGTGTGTGTGTGTCGGGGTTAGTTTATGCTGTTGTCAGACTAAAGAACTATGTATAGCCTTGAAATGTATTGATGACACATGTATCAGACACGGAAGGGTGCCAGCACATCATTTCTTGTAGCTTCTTGCCAGAGTCCTGATTTTGGTTCAGGATAGCACTGCGCCCAACAGGAGGCCTCAGTGTTCCTCATTTCCCTGAAATAAGTCTTGACAGACTTTTCCTGGAAAGGTCAAGTTAATAAAATTTACTTTGTAGGTCAAGAGGTCCAAATGATATTATGCAGTTAACTTTCATATAATTTTTACAAGTCATGAAATTTTTATTTTTATTTTCTTCCCACTCTTGAAGGGCTATACGAAATCAGGCGGTGGGCTGAACTGGGCCTGTAGAACTTTCCAATCCCTGCTGTAAACCAGTCACACGTACTTCCTTAGCCTTCACAACAGGGTGGGCATGTGACTTGATTCTGGCCAGTCAGAACCTGAGTGGAGGTGTGCAGCTGGCCGGGTGGTTCTGGGCAGGCTCTTGGTAGCTTGATGAAAGGAGACAAGTTCTACAGTTAAATCTCTTCTCCTTTGTTCTCTGCCATGAGCAAAAAATGAAATATGGAACCACTGATCACAGGGTAACAGAGAACAGAAGCCCATATAACAAAGATAATGAAGCAGATAGAAAGAGCTTGTCAATTCCAGCAATGCATTTACCTTGTACGTTGTTGAGTGAGAAAATGAATGCCCTGGGCCTGAGGCAGCTATCGATCAGCTCCCTTATTGCTGGCTCTGTTCTCAGACGATCCAGCATGCTAGAAATGTCAGTCATTATCTGCCCTGTTCCCTTCTTTCTGAGAAGCATGGTCTCCTTAGGGTGCTTTATCCCACCTCATCCATCTCCTTCCTACCTACCTGGCCCTGCTGGTAGATCTGCCCTAGTAGTGCCAATCCTTAGGCTAGCCTGTCACCCATGACTTTGGTGGCTTGTTTCAAATGAGGAATGGGACCAATCTGATTTTCTCTCCCAGGAAAAGGAACTGATATTCCTTCTTTGGTTTCTGGCAGGACAGAAAAAGTCAGACATGAACAATATGGTAGAGTCCGTCTGGTGAATGGTGATTCTTTTTTTTTTTTTTGGAACCAGGGATTGAACTCAGGCCCTTGTGCTTGCCAAGCAAGCACTTATTCTACTGAGCCATCTCCCCAGCCCCTGAATGGTGATTCTTGAAAGAAATAAGCATAAATGTCACAGCTGGGGTGCCTGCCAGTGCTTCCAGTACATCCTTACCTGGCTCCTGGCTTTGAAAGCTCAGTCTGTGGTATCCCATTTTCTGTTTCTTCTCAACTCCAACTGCATCTTCCGCTCCTCCTTTAGTTCCCTTATACCAGAGCAGTTTCTGAATGTACTCTCCCAAGGTGGGGGAGACATGCAGCATTTCTTTTGTTTCTCTGCTCCGCATAAGGGGCAGGGTGGGGGAAGAGAAGCCTGGGCCACCTGAGAACAATGCCAAATACTCCTTCGCAAAGGCCTCACCCCTCAGAGTCACCTGGGTCCACCCCGCTCCAGGGAGCTGTCGTAGGCCAGGCAGAGACTAGGGGACCAGTTTAGGCTTTATAAGCATCTGGTTTTGTGCTCCACTGGAGCCACAAAAAATAAAAAAAAAAAGAAAAAAGAAAAAAAGAAATTACTTTCCAAGTAGATGTTGAACATGTAGTCCCTGGGGGTGTAACAGGACTGGAATAGAATCAGAGTCAAGAGGGCTCTGAGGAGTCAGAGCAGGTCACTGAGGGGTGGGTGACAGAGGTCCCAAATCTCTCCCCAGAAATTGTCATTGCTCAGAACAGGAGGGACAGAGAGACTGGCTTGTGATGGGGCAGTGCCCTCACCTGTAGAGGGGGTGGAGCTCTGGATGAGAGGGCTGGGTGGGTGAGGAGAGCATGTGGGGGGGGGGGTGTTTCTGTGAAATGCATGGCTCAGTGGCTCTCTGGGGACATACATGGGCTGTACCCTAGGATGAGCTGGGTGAAAGTAACCAGGGCCACTGCAGGACACTCATGGCTTAGCTTAGAGCAAGGGATCTGGAAAGAAAGTCTTGGGAGGATGAGAAGGTTCTGATAGGTGGACAGTGGAGCATGCAGGACAGGGCCAGGTGCTTTGTAGGAGGCCTGTTGCCCCAGGGCTCGTATTTGAGGTGCTGGGACTCAACCAGGGGCTCACACACAGAGTTACAGTCTATTGGGGGCCATTTATGCTCGAGTGGATGTGGATGAGTCTATGTGGAGAGTTGAAAAAGGGGGAATAAAACCCCAGGGAACACTGAAGGTCAGGGCCAGGAGCCCTTGGAGGAGGCAGAGAGAGTGTGGTCAATAGATCAGAAAAGAACCCAGGGGCATGGCCCAGAGACAGGGAGTGGCCCCCTCAGGAGGCCAGGGGTGGCCACCAGCTTGGATTACAGCCAGTAGCTTGGCCACAAGCCACCAATGTGGACTGTAACAGAGACGCAGGGGAGGAGACCAAGGAAATGGACAATCCCAGGTGACTTGTAAAAGTAGGAGACTGTGGGAAGCAAGGCAAGGTGGGCGGCAGGAACCCAGCAGACTGCCCCTGGGGTGTTGGGTGGGGGCAGGAGTGAGGCTTTCTAAGGATAGTGGAGTGACTTTGACAGATGCCACCATCCTTGGAAGCTCGGTTCTGTCCTGGTCACCTCTCAGGACCACACTTCTGCTCAGAGACTCCTGGAGGCCCCTGTGCCTTGAAGATCATGTAAAGGGATTTCTGCTCCCTGAAGGCAATGGCTCCATTTTTTTTTTTTTTTTTTTTAAAAAACCTTCAGGGAACCCCCCTAAACCCCCCTAAGAGTGGGGGACTAAGGCAGCTGGGGAGCCAGGAAAGGGTGCAGTGAATTTTTTTATCTCTCAGTTCCCCAAATCACTTGCCAACACCTGCCCCCTCCAGAAAGGCTGCTGAGGTTCCCTCCATTCTGTGATCCTGTTCAGTCCTAAGAGCAAGATCAGCAGCAGGGCTTTATTGGTTATCAGAACAAGGTCCCAGGTGCTCCTGCTGCCTCATGGCCTCTCTGGGGCCCCCTTTCCTCCCTCACCTTCTGCAGGCTCAGGGGCTGATGTGGCGCACACTGGAGAAGGCAACTATGTGCAGAGTCCCCGTGTCTGGAGATAGGACTGAGACTTGAACTTGAAGCCAGTGCTGAGCAAGCTGTCATACCCCTGCCTCCACTTTACCGAGTTGCTATAGGCAGGGAGGCCCCCCAAACCTTCTGAATGAAGCCTCCACCTGTCGACTCTCCTATTGTGGCATGTGGAAGCCCATCCAGAGACACCAGGGAGTCTTCTCAAGCCCAAGACTGATACTGAAACAGATTGAGTTACCCCTACCCAAGAGGCCAATGTCAAATCACTTGCCACTGGCATTTGTCCTTTCCATGACCATCGGCTTGACTGACGGCCTCAGCCTCTGAAAAGACAGCCAAAGCTAACTTCTAGCTTTGTGGCAGCCATTATACCCCAAAGTGGGGCCCTCTTTAGAGTGCTCAGCATGGTTCCAGCACCTGCCACACATTTCCCTGACCAAACGCAGACCCTGTCATAGACCTGTGTGTAAAATATCCCCTTCCAAGCCCTGTTACTGCCTGCCCTTTCATCCTCCTGAAACTAGCATGAAGAGCTTGAAATTGCTGTGACCTTTCATTTTGACTTCCTCCCTGGTACAGGTCCTGAAGCTTGGCTCACAGTATTTGTCTGTGTTGGCTCTAGCAGCAGGCTCTTCCAGTTTCAGAACAAACCTAGTCACCCTGGGGCATTGTTTATCCAGTTCTCCTCCCCTGGGCTCCCTGGCCACAGTCCTGTGGTTGGTGTCATCTAGCTGAAAACTGACTTGCCTACAGTCCCCAGGAATGTGAGGTGTTACTCAAAGCTAATAAGCCTGGTTCCCAGGTATGGCTTCACACAACACCTCTGTATACTTGTCAACTTGGGTTTGTATATTTTTTCATGTAAAATAACATTTACCCATTTAACTGATGGCCACCTTCCTCGGAGAGGCCCTCCAAGCATCAGAGCTGCATGTGGGAAGACTGACAAAGGGAAAACTTGTGCTTATAATTGCTGTTTCCCAAGACTGATCATGCAAAATTTAAAAGCCAACAAGATTCCTAAGTCCTTTGGTTCTACTAGAAGTCCCAAAGGATAGTAGCCATCAGTTAAAGACAGTGAAATTGGAACTACAAAGGTGAATGTAGACCCAGTCTATTCTGTTGGCATAAAGTTTTTAGGAAAAAAAGAAAGGCTTTATGGAATATAAGCTAAAGAGGAATAGCTTGCACAGTTTGGACAAAATATAAGTACTCTTACCAATAAATATGTTTCAAAATGACAAATAAAGCTCTCCCCATCTGGCAGCTTGGAATCCCAGCAAGAAGTGATGGACACAGGCACAATGAGCTATGTACAGAGTGTAAACAGTAAGGCCCTGGAGGGAAGCAAGGGAGCAGGGCCGGTGATGGGTGTGCAGGGCCAAGCTGGGGGTGTGGGTAGGGGGAGTGGGCCCAGGGGAAATACATCAGGCTTGTACGTCAGCCGTCTAACAGGCCATCAAAACTTGCAGGTGGTTGGTGACAGGTGCAAGGGGTTCCTCTGGGTGGCAGTAAGGAGAAATGTGACCACCGAGGCCCCCTGGCTCCACTGACCATTTCCCGGGGGCAGCGAGAAGGCCTCCGTGTTCTTCCTCCCGAGGGGCATGGGCAGGGGCAGGGGTAGGCTGCCTGGCCATTTTAGGGCTGCCTGTCGATCGGGCTCCAGGCCAGGCCGACCAGCAGTTTCTCAAACAGAAACAGGACCCAAAGACTTCACAGGTCTCCTAGTCCTTTTTCCTAGGAAAAGAGATCTGGACACCTGTGTCCAGCAGAGGGCCCCAGGATTGCCTTCAAGCCTCCACCCCCAAAGTCCAGCCACCACCTGATCGGTTTCCGAGTCTCTGATCTACAAAGGCCTCGTGAACAAAGCCCTCCTCCCTCCCCACAACGCCCCTGAGCCCTGCCTCGCGCACTCTCCTCAGCCTAGCTCGGGAGTCCTTAAATATCAGTCTCCCGGAGGTTGGTATAGTCCGCTTCGTCATAGCCCTGGCAGGTGGCGCCCTCCGCCACATCCTGGGGAACGCCGAGGGACACGGCCTCCACCTCCGCGCGCAGCGCGCAAGCAGCCTCTGCGCGCTGCGCGCCCCCGGCACGGATCTTGTGGGACAGGCTGGAGACCTTGGCGCGCAGCTGCGTCGTGGGTCTCCGGAAGGGCCCGAGCAGCCGCCACTCGCGGAAAGTGCTGGGCAGCTTTCGCCGGCCAGGGACCGCGGCTCGCGCCTCTGGCGTGCCCGGGGCCAGGGGAGCAGTGAGGGCCAGAGGGGCTCCGGGAGGCGCGGCGCCCGGGCTGGGGGCGTAGTCGGGGTGCGGGCCGCTGGTCGAGGCCCGCCAGTGGTGGCCATAGACGCGCCAGAGAGGGCGGCGGCGGCGGCGGCGGCGACATTGACAGCGCAGGAGACGGAGGAAGGCACGCTTGAACTCGCGGCTGGAGCAGGGATAGATGAGTGGGTTCACGCAGCTGTTGAAGTAGCCCAGCCAGAAGATGACCTTGAACACGCCCTCGGACGGCTTTAGCTGCGGGAACAGGGAGCCTGTTGGGAAGAGACCCACGGGGTTAGCTGCTCCAGCCGGGAGCCCTGAGCACAGAGGGGTGAGCCTCCTACCCCTCATGAGCTGAGCCCAAGCCATCCACCAGGTGCTGTCAAGGGATTCCCCCTTAAGGGTTCCCTCATAAGTCAGGAGCTCCATGAAGGTGCACTGGGGAAGAATAGGCATCGCCACATCTACTCACTTCTCCCTGAAGTTGAACCAGGGGAGATAACAAACCAGAGTAGAGTTAGGCCGTGCTGCTTTTGTCGGACAGAGCTGGTGTGGTACTGACAGTTCCTGCAGATCTTCCTCTCCCATTCGGTTATTGCAGATGTTGTGACATGTCCTCTATGCACTCCACTACTTGGAAACGACAGCCCTAGAACTCACCACTACATCTGGTTTAATGCTTTGCTTTGGAAGTTCATTTCACACCAACTCACAAATTGCTCGTGAAAATATTTTGACAACTTCTTCAATAAAATCAGTTTCACTTGTAGTCTTTTGTATTTTGTTTTATGCTTCTGAAAACATACTTAGAAGAAAGTCATGATGATCCCTAGCACAGAAGAAATAAGAACCCATTTAATCAACATTAAATGCTGACCGGTGTATATACCAGTCCAGGCATTGTGCTGGGCTCTTAGATGTGAGGACACTTAAAACCTTGGTCCTTAGCTGGCAGTGTGAACAAGGTGTCACTGATGCAGGAGCTGGGAGCTGTGCTCAGTATGTACATACAGGGAGGAGCCCGAGGCAGAGGGACAAGAGTCAGCAGGATGGAAAGGGGCAGAGGAAGGGAGGGAGGGGCAGGTGGGCAAGAGCATGCCAAGGAATATGCTGCAGGGTAGACTCAGAAAGTTGTACTGGGGAAAGATGATGAAAGGCCTTAAATACTGGAGACTTCAGCTCTTATTGTGGGTAGGTAGGGGCCATGAATATTTTTAAGGAGATAAGAGACAGGGCCTAGAATTAAGACTCAGTAAACATAGAGCCCATGTTCTGCTGGAATGCAGGACAGTCAGACTGCCGCATTCTGTGTGGTCGGGGAGGCTGTGAGCTGGCTTTGAGGCAGCAGAGTCCCAGGCATGGAATCGCAGCTGTGCCAGGAGGACTCTGCTCTCTGTAAACCTGTCTCCTGACATTGTCCACCAAGGACTGGAAAGAAGTCATGTTTCTAGAAAGGAGGACTAGCTGCAAAGGCACAATCTATCCTGAAAGTAATCACAGAGGCTGGCGGCGCAGCTCCATGGTGGAATGCAGTCTAGTGTGCACACGGCCCTGGGTTCCATCCCCAGCATTACAACAAAAACACGATAATGGGTGGGGGGAGGGAGATGGCTCAGTGGAATAAGCACTTCCCTGGCAAGTGCAAGGCCTGAGTTCAATCCCTGGTTCTGCAAAAACAAAAACAAAAACACGATAATGGATCTTTTTTTTTTTTTTTTTTGGCTAGTTCAGCTTGCCTTAAGTGCATGTGTGTTATGACTTTTGGAGCTGGGGATCAAACCGCGGTCCCCTTTGCCTGACTGGGTTTGCCCAAGTGGCGCTTCAAACAACTGACCTAATTGGCAAGCCCCCTCCAAATACAATAATGGTAGCAACAATATACTGGTTTTGATTTACCCCTTTCTTCCTTCTTTGGGAAACAAAGGGGGGTGGGGGGGAACACACAGCCCTTGGAAGGGATTGTTTCTACCTCTAAGAAGTGTCCAGAACCAAGAGCTGAGACATAGTGGGGTTTGGGGTAGCTGGAGCATTAGTTAGGATGTGTCTAGGAGCTCACTTTCCCTGAGAGATGGGTGGTCTAGTCCCTGGAATGTGGGGACCACCAGAGTGGGCCCAGGCTTCTAAGAAGGTGGTCCTTAAGAACAGCATCCCTCAATGGCTGCAAAGTCAAACCGAGTTCCGAAAATAACTTTGTGACTCAGGCTGCGATTCTTTTATATTTAGCCCAGGATGACAAGTCAGTGGACTGATTTCCAGTGGTGAGTCTGAAGCTGGCCAAAGGGCATTGGTGCCAGCTCCATTTTTATTTAGATTGGTGGGCAACAGGGCATTTTATAGCACAGCCTAGGTCTTATTGTGAGCATTGACATTCTAATTTGCGCTCAGTTGATTTGTGCAAAGCCTGCTATGAACCGGATATTCCTTACACACGAAGGAGCTGGACTTCAAGTCCAGTCTTCTAGCCCTAAGACGTTCCCACTATGACCTTACCTTGGGCTCTTACTTACAAAGAAAGTAACTCTTGCCAACTAAGTTTTGTCTTACTTTGGGCTTTCCAAGAAAGCGTCTCTGGGACAAGGATGCAAATGCAGCTCACTCATTTGGCAGGTATTGAGACACCTCATGTGAGAAAAAGCTACGAGGACAAATGGAAGCCAATTACGAGGTGTGTTAGTGAGTTTGCTATGGACGGCAGCAGCTGGGGCTTACTCCCACTAGGGGCGCTCTAGGTGGTGGTGCAGGACCTGAGGGGCAGAGCTGCCCTGCCAGTGGGGAAGGGAGGTGGGGTGTTTATTTACACTTTCACATTATTTTGTGCTGCTGCTTCTGGGTCTTGATTCTTTTCCACTCACACTGCCTGCGATGTGGATGGTTGAATACGGACAGGCAGAGTCCCTGGGACAGTGATGCAGGTAGGTGCTCAGGCAGAAGTGGGCCTATATGCACGGAAAGTCTGGGGTACAAGGGGGTGCTGAAGACATCTATCTTATTGGCTCTCTGCCTTCTGTGGCCACGTTGCCTAGAAAATGGCGACATCTGTGCCTTGAGCTCCAGACTCTGTGGACAGCTGCTCCCAAATGCCATCTCCTGTTCTTCTCAAAGGTGACAGTCTGAGGCTTACACTGCCTCAGCCCAGAGGACTCCAGCCTCCCGCCCCCCTTCCCTGCTTCCCCTAGTGCTGCCCCTCAACATTCTTGCAGTGTACACAGCCTCCTACAGGGATCTCTGGGGACGAAGGATAGTGGGCTTCCCTCCCCCCACATTGTGTGTCACGAGCAAACCTGGGAAGGGGAACTGCTGCAAGCCTTCTGAGAAGGGGTGCTGCCCAGGACACCTGCCTGGCCGTGGGGCATCAGTAGACAAACGCCTCCGCAGCCATTACCAGTTTCTGCCTGGTCCAGTCCCTTGGAGTTCTGGCTACTGGGTCACCCAGCTGCCTCTCCTGCCTGATCTCCCTGTCTCTTCCCAGCTACCAGCACATACCTTTGCCTGCTTCTATTCAGACATCCTGGGACAAGGATGCAAACACAGCTCACTCATTTGGCAGGTATTGAGACACCTCATGTGCGAGGTGGTTTTGATACAGTTTGTCCCCCAAAGATTGGCAGGCCACAGGCAGGTCCCAGTGTGAGTGGAAACATTAAGACAGGGGTCCAGTGGTAGGCAACTAGGCAGGGGGCTCCAACCGCATGAATGGGTTAATGCTGTCTGGTGGGACTGGGATGGGTCTCACATGACTGGAACACGTCTCATGGGAGTTACCTGTTCTAAAGCAAGGTCACTAACTACACTTAGTTCCTTTGTGCATAGCCAATTCTCTTCCTGCTTCTTTTCCACATGTGACATACCAGAGGCTCTCATCATGCGTTTCAGTTGCCAGAACCATGGGCCAAATAAACCTCTTTTCTTTATAAAGTACCTGGCTTCAGCTATTTTGTGTGTGTACCGGGATCAAACTCAGGACCTCACACTTATCAAGCAGGCACTTATGCCTCTTTTCTTTATAAACTCTTTTCTTTATAAAGTACCTGGCTTCAGCTATTTTGTCATAGCAACATATCTTTGATGAAGACAATAGGAAAGTCTCAGTGGGCATGTGGTGGTGGGGGGCTCAGGACCAAAACCGGTCTTTCTAGTTGGGCAGCCCTCTTTTTGGCCACTGTGAGGTCTCCCCTATAGCCCGTGCCCTGCAATCCTGCTTGCAGCAGATTCCAGTGAATAAAAATTGATCTTAAGAGCTGTCCTTGAAGGGCTGGGGCAATAGCTCAGCAGCATAAGTGCCTGCTTGATAAGTTTGAGGTCCTGAGTTTGATCCCGGTACACACACAAAAAATAGCAAAGCTGTCCTTGAAAAGGAGGCCTCATGGGATGACCGTCCTGCAGCTCCCTCCTCTCCATCTAGGCCCTGACACCACCTGCTTTTCTCCATGGCACCAGCATCTCTCTGCAGTTTCATGTTTGCTTTTGTGCTCCAAAGCCATGTGGTCACAGTGATCTCGGGCTGTCCCTAGCCATGCCAGGCTCCCCGTCTGGGCTTTCACCTTCTGCACATAGTGGTTCTGGGTGCCCTTCCTCCATACCTGGTAGCACCAGCTCCCAGGGCACGCCCTCCTGGAAGCCTTCCTGGTACTGTCCCTTCTTGACCTATCCCAGTTATGCACCCCTCCTCTTGCTTCTAAGTGGCAGAATCACTGGAGATAGAGATTGGTTTTCTGCTTGTTCTGCTCTTAAATGCTTTGCCCACAGTGGATGCCTGATCCCTTGATGGATTCTTCTCCTTGTTCAATACACTGCCTTTCATGCACTCCAATTCCTGACAGTCCCCGAGTCCCTCCACTTCTCTCTACCTCCTAGGTACAGCGTGGCCCAAGTCACCATCCTGCCTACCTGCAGTGCCTGTCTGTCCTCTGGTCCCTTCTGCTCACAGTACTTTCTCCACACACCAGCCTGGCAGTGGGGTGGGGGTCCCTGCAAGATGGAAGCCTGAGCATTTCATTTTTTCCCTTAAGACCCATTTTCCACAGCCAGCCTCAGCTGCCTGCTCTCTCTCTTCCTCATCTGCTCTTGGACCCTCTACCAGCTCCTGGATTCCTAGCACCTCCCTCCTCCTCAGCTTGGCCAGTACTCCTTCCCTCCTCTGCCTTCCCACATCTACATCCTTCCAAACTTAGGTTGGACTCATCCAGCCAGACCCTGACCTGGAAGAACAAGTGACTTCCTGAGCACTCGAAGGACCGACATTAGCTGTGCCTGGCTCCCTCCTGGAAGCTCT